GTTATTGGTGATGGCTCATTAATGGGGTCCTCACTTTTGTAAATACTGTGAACACATCAGCCTGCCTTCCCCATGTTCCTTGTTTTCTTTGGCAGCCTGTTGCTATTCAAAAGCAAACAACATGAAAGTGACCGTATGCTCTGTTTCAGAACAGCTTTCAAAGTGCAAGGACTTGGCACTCCCTTCAGTTTTCTACACGTGATTTGCCTCCATATTTCCTTTGCACTTAGCAGTTAAGTCCCTGGACCTTTATAACTATATCCTTACATCCTGTTTCCTTTCCCTAACTGAAGGTCTTTTTTTTTTTTTTTTTTTTCTGGTATTTAAAGAGAGAGTGAGAGAGGAGAGAGAGAGAGAGAGAGAGAGAATTTTTTTATTTTTGGTACCAGGGATTGAACCAAGGGGTGCTTAACCACTAAGCCACATCCCCAGCCCTTTTTTATACTTTATTATTTAGAGACAGGGTCTCACTGAATTGCTTAGGGCCTTGCTAAGTTGCTAAAGCTGGCTTTGAACCCTCCATCCTCCTGCCTCAGCCTCCCGAGCTTCTGGGTTTACAAGCATGTGCCACCATGCCTGGCTGGAGTCTCTTTATTACCACTATTTCAGCTTTTATTTATTTGTTTGTTTCTAGTTTGTCTCTTAAAATGTGGAATTAAGCCAGGTGTAGTGGCGCATGCCTGTAATCCCAGCGGCTTGAGAAGATGAGGCGGGAAGATCACAAGTTCAAAGCCAGCCTCAGCAAATTAGCAAGGCCCTAAGCAGCTCAGAGAGACCCTGTCTCCAAATAAAATACAAAAAAGGACTGGAGATGTGGCTCAGTGGTTAAGTGCCCCTGAGTACCAAACCCTCATGTGTGAAAGATACAAAGGTAAGAACAGGGCTGTCCTAAGTAGGGTAGAGGGAGAGGACGGGAGGAGGGACAGGAAAGAGATCAGATTGTGTTTCCATATATGAGCAGTTGTGTCACAGTGAAACTCACCATTCCATATAATTGAGATGCATCGATTAAAAAAGAAGCAGCAGGGGCTGGGGTTGTGGCTCAGTGGTGGAGTGCTTGCCTGGCATGGGTGAGGCACTGGGTGGGATTCTCAGCATCGCCTATAAATAATGAATAAAATAAAGGTCCATCGACGTCTAAGAAAAATATTTATAAGAAAGACTCCTCAGCAGACAGGAGAAAGGGGACTGTTCAGGTGGGAGACAAGGGCAGAGGGTAAGTGGTATGATTGGCGTGGGTTCCTCTGGGAGCTCCATGTTCCTGGAGAGTGAAATGGGAGTGCAGGTCGGGATGTGCCTGGGGTTCACATGAGGCTGGCCTTGGGATTCATGTGAAGACACCTGGATTTTTTCCCTTGAGGCATAGGGAGCCTGTGAAGAAGGCAGAACATGGACCATGCATCAGGGGTGAGGAAGAGAAATTTTGAGGGGAATTTGAGCTTTCAACTATTCCAAAGGGATTCAATAATGACAATATATGTTTGTGACCAAGTGTTTCAGAGCTTGGTATTCTACTGTTCACTTGTATTTAATGTGGGACTATCTGTACCTTTGTCCAGTGCCATGTACATGTCTTGTGATTTTAATCTCTCAGACATGTGCCCTGTCCTCGAAGCTCACTGTCCAACAGGAGCTTCTGGAGGAAAGAGCTCAGAAAGCACTTGGTCAGTCCCCAACGTGCAAAATGTCCACAGCAGTCCACCTGCCACTACAGGGCCAGGGTGAACAGCTTTCCGAAACACTGCATCATGGAAACACTGTGGACCACTTTGGCTCCTTGCACCCTGCTCCTCGGCACCGACAGGGCCTTGCTGGTGGGAGTAATGGCTTCTCAGTCTCAGCAGATCCTTTCCCTGCTCGCTCAAAGGCTGATTTCGGCTCTTGCTCTCACCTTTACCTATGAATCTCCTCTTTTCTCTCCCCCTCCACTCTCTTCCCCTCCCTTACCATCCTCCATCCCCTGACTCCTTACTTCCTTGGGAAGATCCTGACTGTCCCTTGGACTCCTGTCACCTTTCCCCAAATGCCCAGGCTCTACCCCAGCACAGTGCTGCCCTGCCGTTCCCACGGGGGTGCAGACAGCCCCTCTTCCTGGGCGGGCATGAGGGAAGCAAACCTAAGACATGGCTCTTCCACCAGAAAAAGGCCTAGACATTGCAGAATTGAACAAATGCTCAGAATTCAGTATGATTTCTAGCAAGCGGGAGAAGTGTAGTTTTGGTAATAATGATGCCTCCGTTTTGTGAGCTCTTACAAGGTCCCAGAAAACAGAAACTTGGTATTTTATATGTACTGATTATCTCACCTAATCTTCCCAAGTTAAATGAGGATCTGGAGACTCAAACAAGTTAAATAACTGACCAAGACTACATGAATGATTATTACAGTGTGTACATGTACCAATACGTAACAACAGATTCCATCATTACGTACAACGATAATGCACCAACAAAAAATGTAGAAGAAAAAATAATAAAAAACATTTTTTGAAAAAATTGCATGAATGAAAGGGATTGAAGATCCTGTCTGTGACACTAACTGGACAGTCCCATGTAATCACTTCCATAAGGCTGCCTAGACATCCAAATGTTCCTGCACTAGGCGACCCTGGCAGAGTGGCGAGGAGGGGGAGCTGGGAATGAACCCAGGGCCTTCTGCATGCTAGACAAGCACTCTACCACTGAGCTACACCCCCAGCCTGTAATGAACTTAACAAAAGTTAACTAAATGATTCAGCTTTTGGGGTCTGCCAACATGCTGATATTAATATTTGCTCTTCCTTGGAGACCCCTGAGGCAGCAACTGCTGCTGTAAGAAATCTTGTCTAGTTTTGACCATGAGTAATAAAAATAAGAATTGTCCCAAATTCTATATAAAAAGGAATGTCTTTCACTTCTTTAAATTGTTTTGCTGTCGGTTCAAAGAAAATATAATAAAGAAAAAATGGCTTGTAGCTATAGTCATTCCAAATTGGATATTTTTCAAGAAATAGCTTGTGGTTTGTCAGAAACATATCAGTGGTCATAAAATTTTTTTATATCCTCTGACACCGTAAGTCACCCTCGGGAATTTATTCCAAGAGTATATAATTTGAAAGAGATTAAAGCCCATGTACACAGATATTTTCAGTGTAGCATTGTTTCTATTGGAAATAAACCAAATATTCCATAACAGGGGGAACCATCTTATAAATCTTGGTACATCAGTTAGCTGATACTTATAAAGTTTGAACGTTTATAATGCAGAAAAGCAATTATAATTTTAAAGTAAAGGAGAAAACTGCAAAGTTACACCTAGTTCATAAAAACTCTCTAGGCATGTAAAGTACCAAAATAAAACAACAAAGAATTAGATGTATTTAGAGTTTGAAATCATGTGTGAAATTTTATTGCCTTTTATTCTTGTTAAAATCTAGGGATAAAATTTGCTCACGTTTTAAATGTTGTTGATTTAGACCTTAATGTTTTCTTATTGTCAATTCCTATCTGTTCCATAAGTTTTAGCCTTGGTTGTACTGTTGGTATTTGGTTTCAGAGTCCATAAATATTTACTTTTTGCTGCATCAGTCGTATTCCTTTCCTGGAGGAGTTGCCTCCCAAATTGTAATCGACATGCATCTCACCTGGGGAACTTATCCAGGTGTTCTTCTGATTTAGTAGGTCTTATGGGAGCCCATGATTTCACATTTCTAAAAAGCTCCCAGGTGATGCAGCAGCTGTGATCTGCTGTTTCCCTGCCCTTTCAGACTGCCAGCTGATGATTGGCTCACAGCAACATCTAGTTGATTGGCTCCTCTGCGGTGATGCTCATTGCGGGACTTCTTTGGCTCCGCCCACACGACCCAGCCAATCAGCCTCAAGAGCAGGAGGATTGTGGGAGGTGGTGAGGCTTGTATTTGTGTGAGAGGCTTGTGGGAAGCCGGTGGTGGCAGTTGGGCTCTGAGGGTTTTTCCTGAGGAGCTGTCTTGTTTGGCCTGTGTGGTTCTAAAAATAAAGTTAATTTCTTTTGACAAGTGGCTCCTGAATTGTGCCCAGCCAGACTGCGGCATTTGGTGGCCCGTACAGGGAGTCACGTATCCAGTGGCAAGGCTCCAGAGCCCTCCCCTGGGCGTGAAGAGGATGTTGCTGACCCATTGTCTTAGAAGGCAGTGCGAATATTCTGTCAGCCACCCCCAGGCATGCCACAGAAACATTTCTGCCAACCGGGGGGAGTTGCAAAGGTGGGGACACAGACAGATGAGCATCCTCTGTGATTCTGGAATAAAGGTGCTGTCTTGCTTCAAGTCTCATGATCAACATCCTTAAGCCAAACAACTTGAACTTGAATTTTGTCAGTCAACAGAAACGACCAGGTGGCACTAAGTTCAGTGACTCTAAATAAGTAAGAAGGGATCTTATATCATCATCATGCTATCATCATCCTTTGATATAGTTTGGAACCTGATTGCAAAACTGAAAACCCCCAACTGTGTTAAGAAAAGCTTTATTTAAAATAAATAAATAGAGCTGGGCATGGTGGAGTACACCTGTGATCCCAGCCACTTGGGAGGCTGAGGCAAGAGGATTCAAGATTGAAGCCATCCTCAGCAACTTAGTGAGGCCCTAAGCAACTTGGCAAGACCCTGTCTCAAAACGGTGTGGGGATGTGGCTCAGTGGTAAGTGCCCTCAGGTTCAATCCTCAGTACCCACACCTCCCCTGCCAAAAAAAAAAAAAAAAGTTTGTTTAGAGTTATAGTAATAACAGAAAAATCTTAGCCTTGGCAATGAATCCTTCAATCCTGTGGTGCAAAACAGGGAGAGAGCCATCTTTCCAGGTGAACATTCTCCATGGCAGTAGGAAAGTGTAAGTTCAGCTCTGCAGGAGATGTACCCAGGAAGCTTGGGTTGGGGAGGACTGAGCTGTCCTTTCAGCTTGGATTCTTATCCCTCCTTACTAATGACTGCAAAACCTTCTGTTGTTTTTAGAAGATAACAGCCATTTCCAACTTGCTTCCCCACAGTGACTGAAGCTGGCTTTGGGGCTGATATTGGGATGGAGAAATTCTTCAACATCAAATGCCGAGCTTCTGGCCTGGTGCCCAACGTGGTGGTGCTGGTGGCCACTGTGCGAGCTCTGAAGATGCACGGAGGCGGACCGAGCGTAAGTCTCCATGCAGCTTTTTAAAATTTAGACAAAGCAGAAATTAGCATAGAATGTCTCCTCTGAACCCATGTTTTACAAATTACCAACGGAGGAACTTGGAGTTTGGCTACTTCAAAGAGCAGCAACACCCACAGCCCTAGGGATGGGACTCCACACTGCATTTGGAGAGAGCATCTTGTGGGCATTTTTAGTCCTGAGATTCACCCCGCCACTCAGGCCAAGGTTCCGTGACCACTTGATAGCAGGAGTTTAGAGGCTCTTGTTCCTGAAGGCAGGACACCAGGATTAGAGTGATCTCTTTGATGACTGAGGGTTTTCAGCATTTGTACAGAGAGGTTTTTGGTTCACTGAGGCTACAACTCATCATATTTCACCTAAAACCACTTTCCTTCTGTTTCTGTTTATTGCAACTTGGCCTCTGGCAGCACTGGGTTGCTTCTAAGCGAAATCTGCTCGGAAAATACAAATCATAATTTCACATTTTTGAGGAGTTTTGATATTTACCTGTCTTAACATGCATAGAATTTACAAAAGGTGTTTGTGATTTTTTTTGGGGGGGGGAGAGGGGTGGGGATGGTGTTTTTCCATTTGAAGAACTTCCAAGTGAGAAAAAATAAATTTTATTTTGGGTTAATCATTTCAAAATAAAATAATTTAAGTTTCTAAGTTTCTTCATCATTAGAATATTGATAAACTGCCACATCATCTTTCTTTTTGTACTAAGGGTTGAACTCAGGGACACGCTACCACTGAGCTACATCCCATCCCTTTTTATTTTTTATTTTCAGACAGGGTCTTATGATCTTCCTGCCTCAGCTTCCTGAGTAGCTGGGATTACTGGCATGTGCTACCATACATAGCCCAAATCCAGTTCCTTAATTGGGGTACTGTGTACACAAAAGCCATGTAATCAATGATTATCATATAGATTGTTATATAAAAACAACAGGTTTGCCATCAGGCAGACTATAACGTGCCTTGTTCAATGATCTTACTTCAGCCTGTAATCCTGGCAACTGGGAAGACTGAGGCAGGAGGATTGCAAGTTCAAGGCCAACCTCAGCAACCTAGCAAGGCCCTTTCCAAAAATTAAAAAATCATAAAGGTCTGGGGATGTCGCACAGTGGTAGCATAATCTAAAAAAATGATAAAAGCTTAATCTAAAAAAGGAAATTCTTTTTTTAAGAAGACAAAAAAAAAGCAAAATTTAAAAAAGAAATTCTTCATCCTGGGAAAAGCAGAGATTTTAATTTCATTTTACAGATAAGGAGGCTGAGGTTTGAAGGGTGTAGGGAATGTGGGCAGCTTTACCAGTCTGGCAGGGAGCCAGATCTGTCTGCCATGCAGAGCTGAACACTTAATAAAAGCTAAAGGTAGTCTAAATCCCCAAGTCCACTCCTAATACCAGATACTCAAGCTCTTTGTTTTGGCCCAAAGCTTTATCATCTCAAATGCAAGATTGATGTGAAATACATCTTATAAGATAGTAAATCCTGAAGAATTCTGATTTTGCTCAAAATACCAGTTGTTGTGGTAGTCATTCCTGGACTTTAGAGTTTGAATCTGTAGACCAAATTCCACCTTCAAAATACAATTTTTGCCTATCTAAGAGGCATTTGGAATGTTCCTTTCTTGTCCTTGCATCCTGAAAACTTTAAACTCAAAGGGTTCTCATAGTGGCCAGGTGCAGTGGTGCACACCTGTAATCCCAGCATCTCTGAAAGCCAAGGCAGCAAGATTGAAAGTCCAAAGTCAGCCTCAGCAATTCAGGGAGACCTTGTCTTAAAATAAAATATTTTTTGTAAAGGGGCCTCAGGATGCAGCTCAGTGGTAAAGCATCAATCACCAGTACCAAAAAAAAAAAAAAAAAAAAAAAATGAGGAGGGGAATTTTCACACTAGAAAGGGCTTAGAGATTGTGGAGTTTGTTTCATTCTTTATGAAGAGGGAGGAAGTCTCAAGCATGTGGACATCCAGTGGCTTGGTAACATCCCCCACCTGCCTAGGAGACTGGACCAGTCAGACCTAAAGTCAAGACCTTTTGTCCTCCAGTCTAATGTTATTCCAGATTATAGTCTCTGTTATACAAAAATTCTCTACATGGCCTGTAATTCTATTTCATTTTGTCTCAATGCATGTGCTCTGTTCTACAGTGGTTGTGTTTTCCCATGTTAATCCTTTATGTCTCCTCCACTCCCACTTAATGTCCTTGTTCTATGGTGGTGATGATTATAGAAGGCTCAGGGTTTGCAGATAGACACAGATACAGGGGGTGCTGTCTGATACTGCAAAATTGTCCTTTACTGTAAAAATACCTACGGTAATCAATTCGTAAAGAGAAAAGATGTATCTGGCTAATAATCACGGAGGTCTCAGACCATGATCAGTTGGCCCTGTTGCTTTTGTGCCAGTGGCAGGGCAGGGCATTGCGACAAGATCACATGGTGGAACATGGTTGGGAAGTGAAAGAAGCAAACAGAGAGGGTGGGGGTCAATAATTCCCTAAGGGGTCGCCCCCAGTGACCTAAAGCCCCCCAACTAGTTCTCTCTTCCTAAGGTTTTACTACCTCCCGATAGCACCCGGGGACCAAACCTTTGACACATGGCCTTTGGGGGACACTGAAGATCCAAACCACAGCAGGGACAGAGGGTAGCACAATGGGAGACTCGGGAAGCTGGACACCCCTCTCTGGGCTTCAGCAGCACCTTCTGCCTCATGTTGTTTTATAAATGTCATTAGTGTGTCTGCTCCTCCAGTTCTGGGTCCCTTGAGATTAGGAACTGTGTCCTATTCATTGGTGCCCTGGTGCCCGCCATAGTCTGTAGCCAGGGAATGTTTTCAATAACTGAATAATAAGTGAACTTTCATCTTCTTACTCTGTCTTCCGTCTTACCCATCTCTGTGTCTTTCCTTCTTACTTGAAATAACTCTGTGCTAATATTTTTGGTCCATTCTAATTTCTGCTTCCTTCTGATAGAAATTACACAAATAGCCACGGCCGCCTCTTCTGTTTATTCAGCTTGGTTTTTTTCCCATAATCTGTGCAGTGGAAAATCCTGTGACCCCCTGAACTCGTCCATCTTAGCCCCAATCATTTTAAATTCATCTCCTGTCTTCCAAAGTGCTCGCCATTCTTGGTGCAACACAAGGACTAGATTCTGTCATACTGTTGGGTCTACATCTGATTAGTGAGGGTTCTCAGAAACTTACGACCGACAGAAAGAATGTGTCTGTGTGTGGAAGGACATTTGTCCTAAGGAATTGGTCCCGTGGTTGTGGAGCCTGGAAAGTCCACAATCTGCACAGCAGACCCAGGAGACTGATGGTGAGATGGGGATGGAAGGATCCTCCCTGGCTTAGGAGAGACCAATCTTTTTGTTGTACTTGGATCTTCAGCTGATTGATTGACACCTGCTCCCATCATGGAGAGCTTAGTGCCCTGCTTCAGAGTCCACGGATTTGTATGTTAATCTTGTCCAAAAATCCTCACAGAAATACCCAGATATAATTTTTTGACCAAATACCTGAGTACCCCATGGCCCCACCACGTTGACACATAAAATTAACCATCTCACCCCTTATTACTGTTCTGGCCTATGGTGCCGTGACCAACTCTGATTTCATTTTTTTTTTTTTTTCTGTGTTAATAAGCAACTGGCACAGCCCCAGGTGCTTAAATAGTTCTTCTCCATGTTTGTTAGGTTCCTCTGGCTCTGCCTTCAGTTGTTCTGGTCCTTGATATGCCACATGAATACCTGCAGGCCAAGGCCCCTCTCCTGTTGCTTCATGGCTGCCTAGCCTATTAGTCCCCCTTTTGATTTCCATATGTATTTTAGGATTAACTCATTAGGTCCAAGAAAGAATTTGGGGGAGATTTATGTTGAGATGGCATTAAATCCATCAAGGATGTGGGAGAGATTTTGTAGCTTTATATCCAAGGATATTGAACATCTCTTCATGGATTTAAGCCTTTTAAATGTTAATGGAGCAGGGGACATAGCTACAGTGGTAGAGCTCTTGCCTAGCTTGCACAAGGCCCTGGGTTCAATCCCCAGTGCTGCAGCTACGGAAAGGAGGCGGGTTATATGTTATATAAAGGTTACCCCATAAATAACTATAAACAAACGTCACAGATTGTTCAATAAAGGCCTGCCACGTTTTTTTATAGATTTGTTCCTATATGTTTTATATTTTTAAGAAACTTAACAGAGATTATTTCTATTTTTATAAATTACTTTTATATCCCACAACCTGTCTAAATTCTCTTAATAGTTGTACTATGTTCGCTATAGATACTTTTGGGGAGTTCTGTGTCAGCAGACTTTTCCGAAAATAGCAACAGGTTTCTTTCTTCCTTTGCAGTCTTTATGCTTTATTTCTTGTCACTTACCCCGACTTCCTAGTCACAGTACTGTGTTGGATGGAGCGGTGATGGCAGGCATCCTGTTCTTATTCCTGATCTTAAAGGAGGCACTTTTAATAGCTCATCACTAAGGATGGCATTTGTACAGATTTTTAGTAAAATTGAGGAGATTACCTTCTATTCTTAGTTTGCCAAGTTGTTATATAAATAGATGTTGAATTTTTTTTCAGCTATGCAAAGATTTAGTTTTTCTCTTTAATGTTGTTACTTAAATTACTTTCAAATACAAATGAAGCCAAGCCTAGTGGTGCACGCCTGTAATCCCAGCTACTCAGGAGCTGAGGTGGGAGGATTGCAAATTGAGGCCAGCCTTGGCAATTTAGCAAGACCTTATCTCAAAATAAGCTAAAAAGGGTAGGGGATGTATCCCACCAGAGCACCCCTAGGTACCATCCCCAATACCTCCAAAAAAGAAAAAACTAAATGAGTGTTACATTCTTGGAATAAATCCAATTTGGTTATATATTATCTTTTTTAAGAATAACTGAATTTGCTAATTGGTTTGCTAACATTTTGAGTATAATTTTTATATCTATTTGAGATGTTAGCACATAGAATAAAAAATTGAGGAGAGTTCTTTCTTTTATTCTATACCCTGCAAGGATTTGTGTATAACATTAGAACATTTGCTTTATTCAAAGTTGTAAACCTGTCTGGGCTTGTTCCTCGTTGGTGATAGTGGTGGGGTAGAATTTTTTTTTAACTCCAAACATAATTTTTTAATGAATATAGAACTATTTAGGTTTTCTATTCTTAAATGAGTATTAATAACCAATTTAATCTATGTCTTTAATATGACCAATAATAAATTGGTCAAACACCATCCTCCCTGACAACACCGTGGGGCATTGTAAGATACTCGTCCAAAGAAATGAAAAAACTGTAGCACTTACTTTAAAATGATTTAGAATGATGCTGCACCCTATATAAATCAGTTATCTAACATTGTTCCATTTTGTGTTAGCATTACGGTCAACAGTACAAAAGTTCTCAGCATTGGCTCAAATAGGATCATTCCCGGGGTCCTGATTGCTTCGGCCTGTGGGAGCCCAGACTGCAGTGGTTTTAAAAGCTTCCCAAAACAAGACCACAGTTTGCCAAAGCTGACAATGTCTGGTTTAACATAGGGCCACCGTCCCAAAAGTGACTGATTTGTGAACTTGATGGATTAGAGAAAGGATTTCTATGGGATTACTCTTAGTTTTTGCCTCTTTTTATTTCAGGTAACTGCTGGTGTCCCTCTAAAGAAAGAATATACAGAGGAGGTAAGGGGGACTCTTTGGATATTTATTTGGAAGGTCATTCGAGTCCAGTTCATCACTGGCTTATAGTTGACCATTTGTGAATGTGTCTGCCACCAGTGGCCTCTTAGAAATGTGTTTTCTGCCAGACACGGTGTCATACACCTGTGGTCCCAGCAACTGCAAAGGCTGAGGGAGGAGGTTCTCTGATTCAAGGCCAGCCTCAGCAATTTAGTGACACCTTGTCTCAAAATTAAAAAAAAAAAAATCTTAAAAAAGGACTTGGGATATAGCTCGTGGTGTGGCATCCCTGGATTCAATTCCTAGTAAAAACAATTTTTATTAAATATGTTTATCTAAGAATCCAGAAGGAAATGGGTGGGATAAAGGGATAAAATCCATTTAGTTTGCAGCCTGTATTCCCAGCAACTCAGAAGGATCACAAGTTAAGGCCAGCCTCAGCAATTTAGGGAGGTCATAAGTAACTTAGCAAGACCTTGACCATAAAAATTAAAAAGGCTGGGGATGTAGCTCAGTGGTAAGCACCCCTGGGTTCAATCCCCACTACTTAAAAAAATAATAATAATAATAATAATTAGAAGGGCTAATGCTTAAATGTCAAGGAAACGTGGCTGTAGAGTTATTTACTATACTCCCAGGAGAGCTGTTTGAGCCACCAGACTTCAAGGTCTCCAGGACAGAAATAAATATGAAGCTTATATCCATGTCTTCTTTTAGCATAGAAGACAGCGGACTTCTGGAAGATAATGCAGTTAGCTTTATGACTTAGCAGAAGCCACTTGACTCCTCCATAAATTGACTGATTTCCTGGTAATGGTACCTTTCAGCTCCCTCAAATGGCACAGGGATTTCAGCCAGGAATAGATGGACAGGGCTCCTCACCATCCCAGGGTCCTGTGCCTTTTGTCCACCAGCCTGCAGAGCATGAGCATGCTGCATAGGCCCTGGCAGCCAGTCATCAACAGAAAAAGGTGTGAGTCCAGAGACCCGAATATGTCATTGGATGGACCCAAAATGATTTCGTAAATTATTTTGCAAATGAAACTCTTCCTTCTGCACCCATTTTCCTTGGAGGCAAAACATGACCCAGGGTCTTCTTTAAAAGCTTCTAGGACAATAAAGTGAGGAGATTTGTAAGCAAAGGCTGCCAGTGTTCCTTGGCCAGTTTGGTCGGGAGTTTTGATGGGAAGTCACACCAGGTTCCTTTTACCCCTCACAGAACATCCAGCTAGTGGCCGACGGCTGCTGTAACCTCCAGAAACAAATTCAGATCGCTCAGCTCTTTGGGGTGCCTGTCGTGGTGGCACTGAATGTCTTCAAGTGAGTCAAGTCTCTTGCTTTAAGGGGTGCTATCACGGGGACCCCTGTGCACTAAACTTTGATTTGAGGGTATTTGGTCTTTCACGGTTTTACCTAAAAGTTCACAGAAATGCTCAGTGCTCTCTGTGTTTAGTTTGATTTCACTTTAGCCAGTGTGTCCTCAAAATATTATTAAGGAAATGAAATATGTATATATGGTGATTTCCATTTCCTTTGTTTGTTCACTTTAATTCCACCAACCATTTCTGGCTGAAGACTGAGTGATCACAGAGAGACGTTATGGAATGTTCTCTATAAAAACCCTTAACAACTTGAAATATTTGTGTCGTGTTAGGGGTGTTTTTTTTCCCCCATGCTTTTCTTGAAGTCTGATTTATTTAAACATGATGTGACCACTTTTGATGTTTAAAATATACTCGGTGTTAGGGAGCGAAGTCGAGTATAAACGGTTAGTCTTTCTTTTAAAACATCGCTAAGTGAATACAGATGCAATACCACAAAGATTTTCATCACCAGGACCGACACCCGCGCCGAGATTGACTTGGTGTGTGAGCTGGCCAAGCGGGCTGGCGCCTTTGATGCGGTCCCCTGCTATCACTGGTCGGTTGGTGGAAAAGGGTCGGTGGACCTGGCTCGGGCCGTGAGAGATGCTGCGAATAAAGGAAGCCATTTCCAGTTCCTGTATGACGTTCAGGTAAGACATAATCCAGAGGGGGAACGGTGCTTCTCATTTCGTGCCTCAGCCAGGGCTGGGAACTCTGCTTACCTGGGTCGTCCCAGGATCTCAGGACAGCCCTGCAGAAAAGATAGAGAGCTAGGGATGTCACTCGGTGGTACACCATTTGCCCAGCATGCATAAGGCCCTGTGTTCAATCCCCAGCACTAAATTTAAAAAGGAGGGTGGCAGCTGAAGATCAAAGACATTAAGCCATCTGACCAGGTCCCTGTGCCCAGGGCAGACCCCAGTCCCCACAACCTGTGCTCCTGAAGCCCATTCTCTGTCCCTAAACAGCAGGCCTGAGGAAGAGGTGCATTGGAGAGCAGGGTTCCACAGCCAGTGCCCTAGGGACTGACTGACTGCCTGGGAATGAGAGTTTTGAGCAATTTCACATGGCTTGTGAAATCATGAGAGGCATATTCTGTGTCAGTTTCTAGTGTGGTACATTCCCTCCTGGTTTTCTTGAACTAAATTGTGTGTGTGTCGGGGGCGGGGGGGTGTATGTGTTTCTCCCATTGAAATAAAATACACATAACAAAGTTTATCATCTTAACGACTTTTAAGCACACAGTTCAGCAATATTAAGTGCATTCACACTGTCGTGCCACCAATCTCCAGGATTGGTTTTTATCTTGCAAAACTGAAACTCTGAGTGCACCTATCAACTCCCCATGGCCCCTCCCCATGGCCCCTGGATGTCACCATTCCATCTTCTGTCTCCGTGGGTTTGATTTCTTTACCTACCTCTAATATAAGTGGAATCACACAGTTTTAGTCTTTTTGTGTCTAGCTTATTTCACTTAGCATAATATTCATGCATATTGTAGCATGTATTGAAGTTGCCTTTCTCTTTAGGGCTGAATTATATTCTGTTGTATGTGCACACCACATTTTGCTAATGCAGTCATCTATTGATGGGCACTTGGGTTATTTCCTCTTCGTGGCTATTGTAAACTATGCTGCTCTAAACGTCTATGTTCAAAGCATTTCAGCAGCAGGGCATGGTGTTGCACACCTGTAATCCTAGCTTTTTAAGAGGCTGAGGCAAGAGGATCACAAGTTCAAGGCCAACCTGGACAATTTAGTAAGACCTCGTTTCAAAACAAAAAATAAAAGACCTGAAGATATAGCTCAGTGGTAGAGCCCTGGATTCAATCGCCAGCACTGAAGAAAAAATAGTAGCCTATGAGCATACATCAAAAGATCTCCAAGATCATCTTTTCATTTCTTTTGGCTATACACTCAGATTGCTGGATTTTCTGGTATTTTTTTTTAAATATTTTTAGTTGTAAATGGACACAAAACCTTTATTTATTTATATTTATGTGGTGCTGATGATCAAACCCAGTGCTTCACACGTGCTAGGCAAGTGCTCTACCACTGAGCCACAACCCCAGCCCCTCTAGTAGGTTTTTAATACATCAAGACTACGGGCATTAAGTCAGGAAATCTGAATTTCCCCGTCCTCACTCTCCTCCTCAGTTTATCCTGGGAACCACTTCACGTCTCCATTCTGCATTTCGTGAGTCTTGTCCTGGCCAGTGGATTTGTCCTCAGAGGACGTCCATGACTGCCAGAGAGCTCAGCCCTCAAGCCAACAGCTGCTTCGCCCCTTCCTGCTTCCCCCTCACATTCCATTTGTGTCTCAGATGTCATCGAGGGTTACATCACTCCTCTCTCCTGCTCTCATAAATCAACATTATAAGTGAAGCAGAAGGGGAAAAGAAAAAAAGCAATTGAAGAGGGCGTTGCAACCTTATCTCTAAGCTCCCAGCTACATCAGCAAGAGCTGGAGGTTAACCTCTTGCTGAGGCTGCCCTGCAGCAAGCTCTCTGTGGGACACTCAGTGGACACACTGCATATGTCCACTCCTTTCGTCCTGACATCCCTTTAGGCCAGAACTGATGAAATCTTTCCATTCTGTGATAAAAAGCTGAAGCACAAGCAGATGAGGAATATGCCCCATGACCCACAGCCAGAAAGAAGCAGGGCTGGGAGAAGAGCCGGAATGACAGAGTGTTACCTGGCCCTGTTCTTCAGAGCCCAGGGCCGCCTCAGGCGTGAGCGTGAGGGAAGGGTGGGGAGGCAGAGCTACCAGGGCAGTGACACGGAGACGCGGCTTAACAGTAAGGACACAGTGCCGGGCCCAGTGTGCACACCTTTGACTTCAGCTACTCAGGAGGCAGAGGCAGGAGGTTGGAAGTTCTAGGTCCTGTCTCCAAAAAAGAGCTGAAGATGTAACTCACTGGTAGAGTGCCCCTGGGTTTTCATCCACGGTGCTACAAAGTTTAAAAAAAAAAAAAATTATCAAAGGATGACAGAATCCTGCCAACGTAGGGACATCTTTGGTACTCAGAACAAGCTTGTGGAATGAAGGGCTTTGGGAATGAACTGGGATGGTTAGTACAGAAAAGGTTTGTCGCGTGGAAAAGCTATTCGGTGACGGAAGGGCTAGAGTGTTCTTGGTTTCAGAGGTGGTCAAGATCAACAAGGAGAGGAGATTTGGGGTCAGCATAAAGAAAAATACCCTAACCGGAAGCTAGGAGTTCTCTGACACTGGAGATGCTGAGCATAAAATAGAGGGGCCAAAGCCACCTCAGTGGTGGGTGGTGGTGGCGATCCTGGGTTTCTGTGCTTTGGTGCTGAGGTGATCCTTGGTTTCTGTACCGGCGTGTCGACCACACCTAGCAGACTCCCAGAACATTCTACACAGATCACTGTCAGAACACCCACTTCCATGTTCCTCCATGAGCACCTCAGACCCATCACCACGTAATTGGAACAGCCCCACCCCAAGTGGCAAAAGCAGTTTATTATTTTATTAATTGTGAAGATTTTATTTTTTATATATACTTTTTTTATTGAATTACAATTCTTAATACACATATATACCACAATTTCTCATATCTCTGTTTGTATATAAGGTATGTCGACACCAAATTCACACCTTCATACATGTATGTACTTTAAACTCTCTGGATAATGATGACCGTCTCCTTCCACCATCCATGCTATTCCCCTTCTCCCTCCCTTTCCCTCCCACCCCTATTCCCTATCTAGAGGTAATTTTCCTCCCATGCTCTCCCTCCCTACCACACTTTGAGTCACCCCCCTTATATTAGAGAAATATATCATTTAAAAGCAGTTTTAAAATGAGTGATTTCACACAATGTGGTTCTCTTTGAGGCAAACAATCCAGCAAAAAGAAGATCAGTAACAGAGGAAAGGTTTCTGAGCTGGGCTCAGACATGCACTAACCCTAAGAGGAGCCCTATTCCTTTCCACTGATGTGTTAATTTTTTTCTACATTCCATTCATTATCATTATATTTTGAAAAACTGTAGTTGTGTATATTTATAGTGAACAAAGTGATGCTTTGATCTCAAAATACAATGTGAAATCAAGCTCAGTAACCAGTCCACACCCCAAATGTTTAACCTTTTTGTGGCGAGGACATCTGAGGTTTACTCTGAGGGCTATTGAAAAGCACAGTGCTCCGTATTGGCTATACTCACCACACTGTGCAGCACAGCTCAAAAAGCAAACTCCAGCTTCTTCCTGCTCCCTGAGACCCTGCACCATCGTCACCTCTGAATTCCCATTCCTCTTGGGATCATGCTGCAAAACCTCTGCTGGGGACGGGGCAAAGGTTTAATAACAAGGTCTAAAGTCCCACGTCCGATAGGTGGCCTGAAGGCCAGGGCTCTTGGTCCCTCTGTCTGCCCCCTCTCCTTGCCTTACAACAGAGGCCTTGGATTCAATAGCAAGGAAGTCAGCGGCTCAGCCTTGGCACCAGGGTAGCGTATGCAAAGAGCAATTGGAGCTCCTGCCCCCTTTGCTGTACCCCTAACAGCTGAATGCCTCATCTGGAAGAAGATTCCAGATAATGTGAGGCCATTTGTCACTGTGTCTGTAGCCATATAGAAGTCTGAATTCAATGGTGCAGTCAGTAAGGAAGCTCAGAAGTTTTTCCCTTGATTTCTTGCATTATTCAGTCCTGGTTAAACAATGGATTAAATTATGGTTTCCTGGACCCTCCCCCTCCCTTTTTTTTTCCCTCCTCCACAATCAAACCTTTGATGCTGAGCAGCTAGATAGGTAGAGGGTAGCTCTCCAGAACAAAGAGGTTATAAATGTTTTGGGGTAAATCTCCCTCCTACCTCTGCTTTTGTGTACAAACTGGATTCCTGTGTGCCTTTTGCCACCTTGCTGGAGTTTATTTCCCCAGTAATGTAGAATCGTCCCTCAGCATTCATGGGAATTAGCTCCAGGACACTCAAAGGATATCAAAATCTGCAGATGCTCAAGTCCCTAAAGAAAATGGCATAGGATTTGCATATAACCTACACATCCTCCTATAAACTTTAAATACTCTCTGGATTACTTAAATATCTAATACAATGTAAACACCATGTTAAGAATAGTTATACTGGCCAGCCAGGAGCCTATAATCCCAGCAGACTCAACAGGCTGAGGCAGGAGGATCACAAGTTTGAGGCCAGCCTTAGCAACTCAGCAAAACCCTGTCTCAAAATAAAAAAATAAAAAGGACTGGGGATATAGTAGTGGTAGAGTGCCCCAGGTTCAATCCCCAGTATCAAAAAAATAAATAAAAGGTTTTCATACTGTATAGCCCAGGGAATGATGACAAAGGGAAAGTTCACACATGTTCAGAAATGCATATAATTTTTTCCCACGTATTTTCAATCATTGGACTGCCAATGCAAAACCTGTAGATCAGGAAGGACACCTGTATTCTGTACAGGATTGTTGGCATCTTATCTCCTGCTCCATTCCCAGCTCAGTCTTGTGTTACAAGAGGAAGAAACATGAGATCATTTTAGGAAATGTGAAGTAGCCCTGGAACTTGGGCCTGATTGCTTTTATTTATTTATTTATCTATCTATTTATTTATTTATTCATTCATTCTTATTTGTAGATGGACACAATACCTTTATTTATTTATTTATTTTTAT